ATAATACTTTAGATTTCAACAAGGTTTGCCAGCCGTTATCTATTACAGCCTGAAAACCATCATGTGGTGAAATCCTCAGTACCTTTTACAGGAAATGTGATTGAAATGCATGTGCTTGTTTATAAAATAATAATTATTAATGTTTAGGTTTAGATATTGTAGATATTGGTCACAATCATTCTTATTGAATGTGTAATTCATATGAAAATCAAAAAATTATATTAACACATTAATTTATGGAATAATTTATACACTAATAAAACAAACTCCCTAACAAAACACCCATAAAAGGCTGAGGCTTAAAATTAAAGTCTGTGCAAGTATTATTGTTGAATTAATGTTTCCATTAATTTCTCTAAGGAGCTCAGAAATGTGGAACATGAGCCAGATTCCAGCTCCTGCACTGGCATGATGTCCTACCTCCATTTAATTTGGATTTGACAAGGATGAGAAACTATTGAAAGTGATGTGATCTAACCAATTGGCCATGCACTTCTCTGCCACTCACACTGCAAAATCTCTGCAGTAAACTAATGCCAGTAAAGGTCATTAAATGGTTAAGAAACAGCCATGTGAGTGATTCTTCCACTTTATGAACTGGTTTCAATGCAGTCAACAACAAATGTGAAAAACGTTTCTTAATTCAGTAGCAGCAAAGAAAATAAAACATAAAAAGAATAGACGCTCCAGAGTGCATGTCTGTTTGTGCGCAATTTCCTTCTTGCCCTCCCCCACTGGAATTAAGATGGGAATTATTTAAATCCGGATTATAGTCGGCACAGCAAGAAATGACTGAGACATGTTTCAGAACTGACAGACAACAGGCTTTTTTTCTGCAGTATTTCCATGGATCCCAAATAATGAATGAATCTAATCTGTTTGAACGTACTCAGGTTTAAGTTGATCATCTCGTTTAAATTGAGCCCTGACAATGAGCCTGTTTTCAGTGTGTCTGACAGAACAGTAGCAGTTTATGCATTAGGTGAGTTAACGTGATGTAACACTAGAATTGCATTCATCGAATTTAAAAATAAGCTGCAAGTTTAATGCTTCAAGTATACATTTGAATTTCAGATTGTTTTATATTGTATGGCAGAATTATAATTATTTTTTATCTTGAACATCGCTGAATGAACATGATTCTCTGGGGGAGGGGATAATTAATCAACAAGTGATTTGCCAGATAATTCAGTGTATGGCATTGCTCAAATGATTTCACTGCAAGGAGGATGGGCAACTCATTTATCATATTCAACTTTCCCTCCTCCCTTACAAAAAGATGATTCTACTCTTCAGACTTGATTTTGCTTCAATAATTATTACTCCAGTGGGAAATAAAGGGTCACTGGACTCGAAACATTAACTGCTTTTCACTCTACAGATGCAGCCAAGCCTGCGGAGTTTCTTTAGCACATTGAGACAAAAATCGATTTGATCATTTAATATTGTTAGTGGGATGGTGTTCTTCAGGAAAGCTTGCCACATTTACCAAGCAATAATCATTTTCACTTTAAAATAATTCAAGGTATGTGAACTTGGGTCTTGATATTTGTGTACGACGGGAATACAAATGCAGTCATTCCTTTGAATGACAAAGCAGGCTCAAGCAGCCGTTTCTTATGTAATATTTTTCCTTAATTTTAATCAACCCGTTTAGTCACACTTCTACCGCAGGTGGGACTAGAACCTGGACTTGCTGGTCCAGGAGTAGGGATATTACCCTTATGCCACAATACGCAATGCCTTGTTCTTGTGTTCAGATCATTAATTACTTTGAAATACAATGCATATTGCTTTTGGTAAATCTGATGTTATTTGGTGCAGAGCATCATCATACAATAAGCAATGAATTAAGCATGTGAAGCAGCGTTAGTTGTCAGGAATGTTATTGTTTTCAACTCTGAAGCAAAATAGCTGAAATAGAGGTCAAAATGTCAAGACTGCAATAGACACAGATTCATTTCTGCCTCACTGGATCAACTCCATCATTTTATGAGTCAGTGGTGTAGCAATGACAAAATTCAGAGAAGGAGAGATTGAAGCAACAATCTTCATGAATGCTGAGCAATTACAATTACAATTACATAAAAAGAAAATGTAATTGTTCTTTAACTGTCACAGAAAGAGATTTGTACAATATTATTATCTTCAAAGGATTGGAAATGCTCTAAATCTTCTTGATGAGGGGCAATATTTTGTTAATTAACAGCACTCATCTGGCTCGAAAGCTGATTCAGCAAAGTGTTCAACAAGGTTCTGCATGGTAGGCTGGTTAACAAGGTTAGAGCATGTGGGATCCACGCAGAGCTAGCCAATTGGATACAAAATGGGCTTGAAGGTAGGAGACAGAGGGTAGTGGTAGAGGGTTGCTTTTTGGACTCGAGGCCTGTGACCAGCGGTGTGCCACTAGGATCGATGCTGAATCCACCTCTTTTCATCATTTATATAAATGATTTGGATGTGAATGTAGAAGGTATGGTTAGGAACTTTGCAGATGGCTCCAAAATAGGTGGTGTAAATGACAGTGAAAAAGATTAACTCAGACTACAACAGGACCTTGATCAAATGGGCCAGTGGACTGGGGAATGGCAGATGGAGTTTAATTTAGATAAATGTGAGTTGTTGCATTTTGGTAAGGCAAGCTAGGACAGTTAATGGTAGAGCCCTGGGGAGTGTCGCCAAACAGAGAGACCTAGGGGTGCAGGTGCACAATTCCTTAAAAGTGGAGTCACAGGTAGACAGGCGTTATATGAGTTGACACGTCATGTTGTGGCTGTACAGCACATTGGTGAGGCCAATTTTAGAATACTATGTACAATTCTGGTCACCCTTCAATGGGAAGTATGTTGTTAAACTCAACGGTGTGCAGAAAAGATTTACAAGGATGTTGCATGGAACTCAAGCGTTTGAGATATGGGGAGAGGCTGAATAGGCTGGAGCCTTTTCCCCTGGAGCATCAGAGGCTGAGGAGTGACCTTTTAGAGGTTTATAAAATCATGAGAGGCATAACCAAAGTCTTTTTCCTGGGGTGGGGAGAGCATAGGTTTAAGACGAGAGGGGAAAGATTTAAAAAGGACCTGAGGGGAAACTTTTTTCACACAGAGGGTGGTGAATGTACGGAACGAGCTGCTGGAGGAAGTGGTGAAGGCAGGTACAATTACAACATTTAAAAGGCATCTGGATGGGTACATGAGTAGGAAGGGTTTAGAGGGATATGGGCCAAATAGGATTAGGTCAGATTGGGATATCTGGTCAGTGCAGACGAGTTGGACCATAAGGTCTGTTTCCATGCTGAATGACTGTATGACTTAAGTTTTAACTCTTAGCTTTTAACTGCTGAAATATATTAGCTGCAGCACAGATTTGTTTTAGCTTCAGACAGTACACAGGGAATTAAATCAACTTATTTGAACATGACTCCGGGACAGGTGAGATTTCTGGCTCAGAAACAGGAACACTACCACTCTGCTACAAAACCCTTCATGGTAGGACTGTTCTGTGGTGATGCTTTGTAGGGGCTTTCCTGAGATTGGTAACTGAAATGCATTATTGATAAAAGAGTAGAGGTATTCCGCAGTTGTTAAGGTGCTTTGAATTCTCATGCCTGCCTCCGGTGAAGTTGTTATTTTGGAAGGGAGAACAAAGAAGAATATTATTTAAATAGAGAAAAACTGCAGGGATCTGCAACACAAAGAGACTAGGGGTTACTTATACATGAACACAGAAAGCTCGCACTTTGGTGCAGCAGCTAATGAGAAAGGCCAATGGTATGTTGGCCCTTTTTTCAAGGGGTTGGAGTATAAGAGTAGGGAGCCTTACTGCAACTGTGAAAGGAGCTGGTGAGACCACTTCTGGAGGATTGTGAGCAGATTATGTCCCCTTATTTAAGGAAAGATATCATTTCATTGAAAGCAGTTCAGAGAAGGTTCATTAGGATAACCCTTGTATGGAGGGATTGTCTTCTGAGCAAAGGCTTAACCCCGAGTTGGGAATCTATTCACTGACGTTTAGAAGAATGAGAGATGATGAATTTTATTAAAGCATAGGATTCAGAAAGGGACTTGACAGGGTAAATGCTGAGAGGATGTTCCCCCTCGAGAGAGTTTCGGACCAGAGAGCATAGTTTCAGAATAAAGGGGCACTAATTTTAGACTGAGATGAGGAGTAGTTTCTTCTCTCAGACAGTTGACAGTCTTTGGTAGACCTTGGCACGAGAACTGTGAGGGTAGAGTTCTTGTGCAACTTTAAGGCTAAGACAGATAGATTCTTGATCAGTAGGGGAAGGTTTAAGGAAAACCACAAGGAAGTAGATGTGAGGAATGTCAGATCAGCCATGATCCTATTGAATGGTGGAGCAGGGTCAATGGGCTGAATGGCCTACTCCTGTTCCTATTTCATCTGGTCTTGCCTGCTACCTGATAACTTTATGATAGGAAGGGATTAATCTTCCAATTCTGTATACCTGAGAAACATTTATTTTTAACCATCTTGTTATTCATTGTCTAGAATTTGAGGGACGTACGTTTGAAATTCGACTGAAACGTTTGAGGATTGTTTTGCTTTAGAATTTTGCCCTAAAAGTTTCACGGATATTTTAACAGGGAGTTTAAAAGCACATTCTCCACAGGGTGGATTATCTGTCAGAGATGCCCTGTTGTAAGCAATGCTGAATTGAGACCAACATCTTTCACAGGGAAGATAATTGGATTGTGCCTGTAGGTCTCCTCCGAGCCTACCCAGAAGTAATATTGCTGAGGGTTTGCATGAAGAGAGGCATATCAATATCAATTATTGTACGTTACAAGGAGACCAGAAACAAAATATGTGGGAAGAAAATAATGCTTTGACAATAGTTGGGGAAAGAATGCCAAAAGCATTGCTCAAATCATAATTTTACTCATTATCGTGATGCCTTTTTTCCCTCTAATCTAGTGGCTGTGTGTCTATCAATTCATCGGTTAATGAGTCTACATTCTCTGGCTAACCATTGCGTCCACGTCATGTTCAGTCTCATTACAAATTGTTGCATCTGGGCTCGGAAAGTTCAGGAACCAATAAGGTTAGTGTCTTTCTGTCTTGTTGATGTAAAGGGAAATATCTTACAAGAAGTGCTACTACTTGGAGGAGGAAATGGTGAGACAAAATTTTATATTTATGCAGCAGCATCTTTGACAGCCCATTGAGCAAAGAAATCATAGAATCCCTAGAGTGTGGAACCAGGCCATTCAGCCCATTAAGTCCACACAGATCCTCCAAAGAGCATCCAACCCAGACCCACCCTCATACCCTATAACCCAGCGTTTGTACATCCATGGACACTATGGGAAATTTAGCATGGCCAATCCATGTAACCTGCACATCTTTGGACTGTGGGAGGAAACCAGACTATCCAGGGAGAATGTACAAACTCCACACAGTCACCAAGGATGGAATCTAACCGGGGTCCCTGGTGCTTTGAGGCAGCAATGCTAACCACTGAGCCACTGTGCCACCCTGTCTTTGCCTGCTCCTTTTCAGAATGGTTTGTACCAGGGATTGTACAAGATGCTAGTGAGACCACAGTTTTGCTCCCATTATTTAAAGAAGGATATCATGTCATCAGACGCAGTTCAGAGAAGGTTCACGAGGATGATCCTTAGTATCCAAAAAGGCTGAATGGCCTACTTCTGTTCCTATTTATTTTGGTTTTATGGTCTTTAATACAGTGGATTAAACCAACCAGAGATTGGGACTAAGCTACATTGGGGTAGTCAAATGCTGGGTGTCACATGTGACCTGGGAATAACTTTTCTGCATTGCATCTGTGCTATTTCTGTGGCTTGATCTTGACTCCAGTTGGGAAAAATAAATAGGAGCATTTTCCATTCCTGAGTATCCACACTCTAACTTTAAGTACACAATGCTTTACACGAAACACAATTCACTTTTTGTTGGAATTTTGTGATAACCTCTAAAGCAGAGAATGAGCGACTCAGTTTTATTTTGCTCCAAAGATGTTGGGGAAATTTATTGGGGTGAATGGAAGATGGGAAGTGGGGTGATGCATGGGGTTGGAGGAAGGGACAGTATTCTTTTCAGCACTGTTGTTTATTTTTCTTCTTCATCAAAACTGATTGCTGAGGTTTGCTAGAATCCTGAAAACTTTTGTCCTATGCCACCTGAGTTGTGACAGTGTGTTAATCGGGAACCAGAAACAACAGTGAATGAGGATTTGTGCATAAATCAAGTGTTAGTCAAACTAAATTCAATGTCAAAAAGATGGATTATACAATTTCAGGCTGTGCTTGTCCAATTCTAAGGCAGGAAACTTTTCTGCACCTTATGTTCATTAATGTGAAATTAAGGAGCAGAATGGCACAGACACTGCACACTGGTACAGCAGGTAGCATCAAAAATGTGAAGACACATACTCAATCTGCTTCAAGTGCACTTGGCCTTGCAAAAAGGAATGAACATTAAATGCTGCAGACAGCAATCGTGGTTCTCCCAGCAGTAATGCAAATTTGCAGAAGTTGGAAGCAGGCCACAGAATCATGTGACCTGTAATTAGAGTAGGGTATAACTACAGCTAAAAGAATATGCCTTTGTTGGAGGGAGAATAGTTTTGAGAAATTAATTTTGAGATAAATGTCAACTTTGATTAGACACAGTAACCGGTTACTTATAGAGCCAACGTACAATATTGCTATCATAGGCATTATATTGATTATCTGACAATGATTGTTGGCCCAATTTGAACAAACTATTGATTATCAATGCACTTTTCCCCCTTTCAGAAATGTTACTCTGCTGATCCTTGGACTGAGCCACACAGGGAAAACGGCAATAGTGAAAGGAATACAAAAAGGTAAAAAAAAACAGCTACCCTCAGACCTGATAAAGAGCAAATTGCTTTTTAATTTTTCTGACGGAACAAGCAGACGTAATTAAAGAATGGTAAATGGATGTGGACAACTTAGCAATTCATAGAAAGAATCTCAATAAATATTGTCACCTTCAATGATGGCAGCAACCAGTGAATGTAAAGCTAAAGTCTGAAGTGTTTTCAACCAATCCTCAGCCAGAACTGCTAAGAAGGTCCATTTTGACCTCTTCATGAGAATCCCACTACCATAAAACCAGTCTTCGGACAAGCTCATTCGCTCCCAATGGAATAAAGAAATTTTTGAATTTGCATAGGTCACAGCAAAAGTAATGTGTTGCCAAATGTTGGGTGACTTGGTGGTTAGCGCTGCTGCCTCACAGCGCCAGGGGCCTGTGTTCAATTCCAACCTTGGGTGACTGTGTGGAGTTTGCATATTCTCCCCGTGTCTGTGTTGGTTTGCTCTGGGATCCTCCCACAGTACAAAGCTGTGCAGGTTAGGTGGATTGGCCATGCTAAATTGCCCCATAGTGTCCAGGGATGTGTAGGTTAGGTGGATTAGCTGTGGGAAATGCAGGAATAGGGTAAAGGTGGGGGTGAATTTGGATGGGATGTTCTTTGGAGAGTTGGTGTGGATTTTTTTGAGCCCTATGGCCTGTTTCCACATGGTAGGGATTCTATGATGATGATGATGATGATGATGTTAGAGTTTAAGTAGCTGGGTGTTGATGCATAGAACAGGATTTAATCAGGCTCAAGCACATATTTTGCAGATGTACAATCTACTTACAAGCACATATTTTGCAGATGTACTTCCAACTCAACATCCACAATGGCAGCCTGCTCCATGAATACAAGTAAAATTCATATTAATACATAATTATCAATGCTAAAAATAAACACAACGTCAAAGCTATTCATCTTGCACTCATCGGGACTGGAATTTGGATTTCTGGAAGGCCTTTGACAAGGTGCTGCACAGGAGGCTGCTAAATAAGATGAGTCTGTGGTGTTAGGGGCAAGGTAGTGGCATGGAGAGAGGATTGGCTGCCTGGCGGAAGGCAGAGGGTGGGGATAAAAGGGTCTTTTTCAGAATGGCAGCTGCTGACTAGTGGAGTTGCGTGGGGGCGTCTGTGTTGGAACCACAACTATTCATGTCATTCATTAACAATCTGGATGAAAGAACTGGGGGCATTGTTGCTAAGTTTGTCGATGACACAAAGGCAGGTGGAGGGACCGATAGTGTCGATGAGGTGGAGAAGCTGCAGAAGGACACAGATGGGCTAGGAGAGCGGACAAAGAAGTGGCAGATGGAATACAATGTGGGAAAGTGGTAAAGAATAGAGGTGGAGACTATTTTTTAAATGGGGAAAAGTTTTGAAAATTTGAAGCATAAAGGACTTAGGAGAATCTTGAACTAGTACTCCTAAGTTTAACATGCAGTTTCAGTTGGCAGTTAGGAAGGCAAGTGTAATGATGGCATACATTTTGAAAGGGCTAGAATACATGAGCAGGATGTACTGCTGAGGCTGTATAAGGCTCTGGTCAGACCGCATCTGGAATATTGTTAGCAGTTTAGGGTCCTGTATCTAAGGATGTGCTAGCAATGGAGGGGGTCCAGAGGAGCATCATAATAATGATCCTGAAAATGAAGGGCTTGTAATAGAATAGAAAAAGAGTAGGAATTTATTGTCATGTACTTTTACATGAAAAATACAGTGAAAAGGTATAAAAGTCATCCCACCACAGTGCCTACATCAATGATAGAAGTCATACGTAATTACAAAACAAAAATAAAATTAAGACAAAGTTCATCACATTTCAGTTAATGGCTCCTCGGCTCGGGGAAAGCCAATTTGGGATTGATCGAATACCTTGAAGATGCAGCTAGGATGATACTGCCACGCTAGGCCATTGGATGCTAGGCCAGAAGCCTCTGCCGATGAAGATCGTCATAACAGGCCGAGACCACCACTCCTGGATGAGACCACCTGCCAGACCGCTAGAATACCTGGATGCCGAAGATGAAGAAGACCTCCAATGGCGATGAAAGCTCCATGATGGGACAAGACAGCCACACCTGGACAAGATCACCAAGCAAGCTGGGAGACTGCCGCGCTGGGGCAAGACCGTCTTTCTCCTCCTCCAGGCACCCAGCCCTAGCTGTGGACCTGGAGCCTCGGCCTAGCATGCGAGTCCGGGCCGGGGGAGTCAGCCTGGATCCTGTTCCTTGCTTCCTGGGAGACCCCGGGCTGGGTGGAGCCACGTCTGGCTCGTTCTGGCGTTGCTATTGCTCCTGCCACCAGTGTCGTCCTCCTTCTCTCACCACTTTCCAGGCTCAAAAGTAAATAAAGGAAAAAACTTGAAAAAGGGTAAAACTAAAAAGAAGAAATAAAAGAGAAGGAAAGCTGATGGGGACAGTCGGTATCCGTACCCATTCCTTCACCATCTTGAAAAAATGTACGAGGGACCGTTGAGCAGTCTGCGTCTGTATTCAATAGAGTTTAGAAGGATGCAGGGGGATTTCATTGAAACTTACCAAACAGAGAGGCCTGGTTACACTGGATGTGGAGAAGATGTTCCCACAAATGGGAGAGATTAGGACCTGAAAGCACTGTCTCAGAGTGAACGGACAACATTTCAGAATTGAGAGGAAGACTTTCTTCAGACAGAGGGTGGTGCGTTTGTGAAACTCATTGCCACAGAGGACAGTGGAAGCCAAGTCACTTGGGTGTCTTTAAGACAGAGATGGTAAGGGGGATCAAGAGTTACGGGGAGAAAGCAGGAGATTGGGGTTGAGAAACATATCAGCCATGATTGAATGGTGGAGCAGACTCAATGGGTGGAATAGCCCAATTCTGCTCCAAAACGTTATGGTTTAATGTAAGAAACCGGGCTTTGAAAGGAAACAGCAATTTATGCAGAATGAGAAAACGGTAGTGAATAATTAGACCATGAAGACGCAGCAAGAACTGTTAACTGTCAGCCTTAGTAATCTGAAAAAAAAACTCAGATCAGGCAGGTGGTTTGATATTGGCCTGGACCCTGCCATGCAAATGTAGCAGGGATTGGAAGTCTCTGTGACCCTTTCATCAATAATAAAGTTAGAACATATAGATGACATGGCTTTTGCCTACAAAGGACAGGGCCCTATGTGTTATTTATATGTAGCTTCTAGTACATACCAATGAATCATGCTGAGAGCCCAACTGTTAATCTTATATTGGTTTCTGGTAGAATTCTTAACACAATCAGAATTAGTAATGAAATGTTGTTCAGTATTAGAATCACATCTAATGTTGGTGTGGGGTTCTGGTCTTTGCAAGTATGGGTTGATTGTACATGACAGCCATGTTACATGCCACAAATGGCCAAAGGGATGTGTTATTTGATATGGTCCAGCAATTGTTGGGATATTTGGCTCACATACTGCGCATCACATCAGCACTGAATTTTATACCACCATGCTGATTTGTATTGTACGGAAAATGACATTTTTTTGGCCTGATGGCAGCATCCTGTTTGTGGAGAAAACCGCTCGTGTATTCACGCAAAGTAATTTCTTAAGTCGGGTACCTTCACCTTTCAAATTTTTGAGACACTTTCCCCTTTCAGAGTAATCTGAGGATAGATTGGGAACCTTTCAGGGCTTAAAGGGTGGCACAGTCCCTTTTGTGAGTTTGTACATTATGCAGTGAGTGATGATTTGATCAGCGTTGCCCTTATTAATCGGGCTGATTGATATGCCCTACCTCAGTATCAAACCTACATGTCAGCAAATGGCTGTATTCACTAGACTGTCAATAAGATTGATCTTGTAGTGTGTGGTAAATCCCAAAGTATATTGACTAGCTTGCAATAGATTGTAATACAGAACCCATTTCAGACTTCTCAATAAACATACCAAAAACTAATTTTATTGCTCCATTTCAGTGGTGACTTTGAACACAGGATAAAGTTATTGTGCTGTGTAAAGAAATTCTTTGCACCTGCACATCCAAATATTGCAAACTTGTCATTTATGCTTTGAAATTGTACAAGGGATTGGAGGTTAGCTTTCCTTCCATCAGTGATACATTTCTTGTGGTAACCAATAAAGATGCTAGCAAGTGCTGTGCCCAAAAGGGATGCCATGGCAACACCATCTATTTGGGCTTACATGGTGGTATTGAAACTGAACTCAACTGTGTGAGATGCTAAGTTCAATGAATACATTTTCAGACTCCAGTGCCTTATCTAGATTGCCGTGATATAGTGATCTACAGCAAATGTCAATGGTTTGCTTAACTGGTACTTTAGAGAATAAAATAACAATGCCAAAAGAGCACATAGGCATTATATTACATCTGATACTTAAGTCTTGTATTGTCTTCAAAAAAGTGAAGGAATCTTTCAAAATACATGTGGAAAACACAGTTAATACTGATTGTGGCTGTTCATTTAACCATTTAGCAAATTCATGCCGTGGAGAGCCAGTCATAGTTAAAATAGGGCATAAGGGAACATTGCTGTTGTATGTTTTGGGAAACTCACATACATGGGCACAGTAAGGCATGAGGGCGAATTCTATCATAAACATCATCAAGCAGGCTACCACCCTTTCGTAAGTCCAATATTGCAACTGTAACTTGCCATTGAGTATAGCTGTGCAGTCAATTGTAGTGGCAGATCCTATAGATGTAAATATGGAAAAATCATTGAACCCATGTACATTTCGTTAGTCATGTTTGTTGAGTATGACTACACCAGTACCTTTGTCAGATTTACAATTATGTGTATTGGGATTTGTCTTGAGCGTGCCCAATACGATTAAACATTTGCCTTACATATGAAAATTTGTCAGCTCATGGGTGATCTGCAACTGGCATGTCCTAGATCTATTAGATATGTTTTCAGGGCCCCAGCGTCCTAATGGGATGCTGGTTTGTGGTGAGAAAGCTGATGATAAAGGAGTCCAAACTCAGCTCAACCAGCTCAGGCTTGTA